AAATACAAAAAGATTGCGCACATTAGGTTTATTGCAAATTCAGCTTCCTCTAAAAAGGCGTGGATGTCTCGTGAAAGTGGAAAAATGGGGACAACTTTTGACTATTTTTTAAAATTAAATCGTTCATTTATTTGTAGCTGGTCAAACATTTTTTTTTCTTTTCTTCTTCTAGCTAATGGATTAATGCTCTGTGCGTCTCGGCCTGTTGACTAAAAAAACATCCATAACAGAATCGGTCACAATTTACAAATACAAAAGCTCATAAGGATAAATCCACTGTCATGTGAGAAATTAAAAATGTAGATATATTGTTAACATGAACCCTCAATTGATCAAAGTCATCTCAAAAAAAAAGTAATGTCCAAATCTCAACGGGGCACAACAAACTCATCATTTACGGTAAAGATCAATCTCAAAATCCAACCTACTCTCGTAGCATCATCTTTTTAAATTCATCAAAGCATAAAACACCATCTCCATTAACATCATACCTTCGGATCATCTCCCTACACTCCTCAACAGTCTTCAATTGCCCAAGCTTTTCGAGCATTTTCCTCAAGCTCTACGGCGGCAATCTACTGCTGGGGAGCGACGGCGATCTACGACAACGAGGACGGGTGGAGGAGGGAGGGGAGGCGGTGGCGAACTCGAGGGGAGCCTTGGGGGCCTGAGTGGAGGCGACAACGGCGAGGAGGGAGAGGGCCAGGGTGACGAGTTTGAGAAAGCTCTTAGTTTTAGAGAGAGGAGAGAGAGAGAGAGAGAGAGGATATGAGTGCTGAGTCTGAGGGATTGAGGAGAGAGGATAATAATAATTTGGGGATTTTAGCTTAGCTGGCATATAATAATTGATAAAAAAAGACTGCAGTACAAAGTGTCACACATCAAGGAGCTGATTCACATGGGGAAAACTATGAGGGGCATCGTCACATGAAGTTTATGCTTTTGGGGCCTGTACACATTTTCCCAAAAAATTAAGTTATACTATAATTAATACTTATACTATTATTAACATATATTTAAACATTATTTAAATTAGCTTATTATTATATTAATAAACAATTTATTTAGGAGTATAATTATTAAATAATAATGTAATCATTAGTTTAAATAACACTATTGATATAATTACACAATTTATATTATTAAATATTTATGTTATGGACATATTTTATTACAATATCTATTAAATAATGGCAGTAATTTTTAAATATTATATGACTTTATGTTGTAAAGAATATTACTTTGCTTGATAAGTAATATCATCTTAGTAAATAAAAAATTAGATGGTATAAATTAAAAACAATATTACTTAGGAAAAACACTTTATATAAAAATATTGGATCATTAAAATTTATGAGACATTTACTTTCCAACAAAAAGTGAATGACTCATAGATTTCAAAAATCCAATATTTTTATATAAGGCAACTTTTCTAAATAAATTATTTTTAATTCATAATGTTTAATTTTTATTGCTAAGATGATATTATAATATCAAAAAGGGTGATATTTCTTACAATATAAAGAATCAACCCCTATTTATACTATTATTCATAATTATAATTATGTACAATATTTTATTAAATAAATATTTCACTATTGCTGTATAGTTAATAATTCTTTTATAATGAATTATAATATATTTATTAACTTTATTATCATTATAAATTATTTATATATTCTAGAGAGTGACCAAATATTTTGGAAAAAATAAGAGAAAAGTATATGTCTCATAAATTTCATGGATCTAAATATTTTTATATGAATTAATTTTTCAAAATAGAAATATTTTTAATTTATAACATCCAAATTTTTTATTACTAAGATGATATTAATTATTGTACAAGGTAATATTCTTTACAACATAAAGAAGTAACCCCTATTTATACAATTATTAATAATTATAATTATGTGCACTAATTTATTAAATGAACGACTTTTACTATTTTATATGATTAATAATTATTTATAATAAATTATCATATATTTATGAATTTTATTATCATTATAAATTATTAATATATTCTAGTGAATGACCAAATAATTTGAGAAAATGAAGAGCTGCATAGTTAATGAGAGGTTATAGATCATTAGTTTGAGGATAAAAAATTGAGACGGTAAAAAGAAAAATCAAAAGTTTTGACATGGGTATTATCTTCTATAAATAGTATAGATAAATAAATAATTTCACTATTTCATTATAATTAATAATTCTTTTATAATGAATTACAATATATTTATTAACTTTATTATCATTATAAATTATTAATATATTCTAGAGAGTGACCAAATATTTTGGGAAAAAGAAAAGAAAAATATATGTCTCATAAATTTCATGGATCTAAATATTTTTATATAAATTAATTTTCCAAAATAGAAATATTTTTTATTATAAATTATTGATATATTCTAAATTTTTTATTACTAAGATGATATTAGTTATCGAAAAAGGTAATATTCTTTACAACATAAAGAAGTAACACATATTTATACTATTATTAATAATCATAATTATGTGCACTAATTTATTAAATGAATGACTTTTACTATTTTATATTTATATAATTAATAATTATTTATAATAAATTATTATATATTTATGAAATTATTATTATTATAAATTATTAATATATTCTAGTAAATGACCAAATAATTTAAGAAAATGAAGAGGTGCAAAGTTAATGAGAGGTTATGGATCATTAGTTTTATAAATAATGGTATAATTGTGAGGGATAAAAAATTTACAGTGGTAGCATATGAAGTATTACAAAATAACCCAAGAAGTTTTAAAATTTGCACAAGCTCAGAGACATAAGTGAGCAAAAATCATCAAAGTGGAACAAAAGAATAATTTTTAGGAAGGAAATAAACGAAAAATATTTGATCATGATATTTAATCACGTGCATTGCACATGTATAAAACCTATAAAA